TCTCCACGTCAAGTCATGTCAAGTTTTATTTCTACTGCTCAGGTTCATGTTTCCCCATGTACGTGTTCAGTTTGATTCAGTTCCGTCTTTCCCTTTTCTGCTTTTGGATTCGCTGTACAAACACCCCGGCTATTCCGGCCATAAAATATCAAGTTAGAAGGTGGGTGTAGCTTAGCCCTTCCTCTCATAGGGTAAGAGGTGTCTGTACTGGTTGCCAATTTCTCACCGTAGTGAACTGTATCCTATCATATTTGTTACATTAATTTCACTTGTTAATCTGTTTGCAGCTGTTAACGACCAATATACATTTCTTTAGATACCTACTTTATTTGTTCCTTTAGCAGTGAAACCATTAGCAAACCATGCTTTTAGCAAAATTTGCATATGCAACTGTACCAATGCTGGTTTACCTTTAAACATACAACATCTACCTCTAAACTGTTCAAGCACTCACAAAAATCTCCTCTGTCAATCTGTAATTTTATATCCCATTTAGGAGATTTGCTTTAATACTCTCAGCAGCACAACCGCTCAGCTGTGTTCAGAAAAAGTCTGGCTTCAGTTAAAATCTGCCTGATCACAACTTTAACCATGCACATTAAAAACTTATACTTTGGATTTGTTCAAATATGATGCTAAGGAGTTCTGACTAATGATTCATTAAATCAGGAGTGGGACTGTGCTATCTACTATCAATGGAATTATCAAATTTAAGCATGCTAACATGATAAAATGAGATGATTAATATTAAAAACAACACATAAATGCAAACATTTTTATGGTGAGCTGCTTAGCTTTCAGCTCAAATGACCTGTTTGTACAGAAACTTACACTCCCAAAATCCAACAGACCACACAGGCTGGTTAATGGCTCATTTTTCTCTTAAATTATTTGCCTATAAACACAAACCATAGCATTATCATCGATTGTGGACTGAGTTATGATACAATTCTTGAGACGGACAACTTTAATACTGTATTTCCAATGTGCATCTCTGGGGCATAGTTTTGGCCTTGTTGTTCACACATTGAGGCTGGTCAGGAAAATCTAGCATAGGCCAGGGTGCAGTGTGGAACAGTTTGTCACTATTAATAATGTGCCCATAAAAGACTCCCACTGGGGTGTGCTTTTTACCATGTATTCACTCACAGAGGAGACACCCACACAAATTTATCCCAGAGTGACTGGCCCAGAGGTATAACTGTCAGACTGCCGAGCAGCATCACTGCTCCCAAAGACAAAATGAATGAGAAAGCAATTAAATCTCTGCTTCGTTTAGTCCCATAATATTTCAACTCTGACCTCTCTCAAGGATGTAAGCAACAAAATGTCAATGTAGTGTTTTTTTTATTCACTGGATGGGCAATTCTAAGATCAGGAGCAGTGCTTCATTAACAACTCATCTTCTTTCCATTCCTGCCCATCTGTGGTCAGGTCTAAACCAACAAATGAGGTTGCCCTCCACCTTATGACCCTCATTCTGACAGTTTTCCTCAACCAATCTCCCATCTAAAAGGCATTTGATACGCTAAACATCCACATCAAGAGATGGGAGGTGTGTTAACTTGCCTTGCTGAAGCGTATCAGCGTACCCTCCCAGTGCCACAGATCTCTGCAGCCATCCCTCTTCAAAGGGAGCAAGTCAGCGCTAGCATGAATTAAACAACAAAAGGATTCGCTAACCTTTATGGATCAGCTTAAGGAGAGAGCCAGTAGTTGTATTACTGATCGCACCGGTTTGATACAATATAGCTGCAATAAAAGGAACACTATCCTCTTTTCAGGTTATAGTGGATTCAGCTGGTTATACAGTACCAACTACTCTAAATGCATGTTATTCTGGGTGGAACAGCACATCTGAGCCTAGCATCAGAGCAGTGATGTCATAAGTTTTTACTACCTTTAATTTTATAATTAAACACAGTGTATACTCCAGCTTGACTTTTATGAGTCCCACCTTTGGATAAGGATACTCTTTCCCTCTAGGGTAAAGGGAGCCTGTGAAACGGGGGAGGAACATTGTAGGGACCAGGGAGTCGTTGATGGTGAGGTAAGCCAATCTGGAGCCGTCTGGTGACCACCAGTGGGCCACCTGAGTGTGCAGTACCATCTCTGCAAAGACAAACCAAAACAATCTGAAAGCCCAAGTCAAAAGAAATGGAAGTTTAATTCGTTTTTTTTAATGCAATGTACACAATACTCAGATTTTAACATCGACTTTTTAAAATTAAATTAAAAGCGGTGAGACTTTAAACAAAGTACAGTTTTACTGCATAAAAATAAAAAGTATTATTTGCATTTACAATAAAACAAACTCAAATAATAAAACGCACAGATAATAGTCCTATCAGGTTGGTTTGAACTTAAACTGTATCCAAGATCTGCTACAATAAAACTCTCATTTTGGTCCTGATCTTTGGGCAGTTGAAATCTGTATATGAAAAGAAGCTTATTTTTGTAAAAGATTATGTCATGATCCACCAGTGGCTGTCCTGGGGTGTGTTGCCTGCCTCCAGTGGTCACCTGATCTTCACAGACATGCACACGCACCTGTGGCTTATCACGGCTGATAAACACCAACCATACTTAAGGAGCCTGGTTGGAGTGGTGTGCCTCACTGGAGCATTGTACTTACTAGTGTTAGTGTACCCTGGCTTAGTCTCTTGTTGACCTTCCTGAGTATTTCTCTGATGTTTGTCTCAGTCTCCCTCGTATAGACCTGCCCCTGTCTTCCCTGGACCCTTCCCAGTTGAGCATTCACTCTCCAGAGTGAGCGCAGTGTTGGAGTGGACGGTGTGGAATCTGGATTTGGATTGTACATAGTGGAGTGTGAGTGTGTGTTCCCCTTTTCCCACCTCTGGACCTAGTCTTGGAATCCCTGGACCCCTTTTCTCCCCGTCTCACTGTACATGTGTACATATCACCGGTGTTGTAAATAAACCCACTTGTTTGATTGCACATATCGCATATCTGTCTGTTCAGCACTTAAAAATAAATGTTTTAACAGACATTTAATGTAAAACATCAGCAAAGAGCTACACAATGAAACTCTGAAAAGTAACACTATAAAGCTTAAAAGTGGCAGAAGGTTTGGACAGAAGTTCTCTGAAGGTTCTTTGAGTGAGTTGAAGTAGTTATCACCAAACCTTCAGGCCAGTGTCTGTATTTAGTGGTGACTCGAACAAAATTGCATTGCTGATTGCAGGGGGATGATGAATACACAAGAACATCAACAACAGGAAAATGTCTGACAGTGTTTGTGGAATGTTTCATTCAGAGTGGCCTGCTTGTTGATGAGGAGATATGGTACATATGTCTTATAATAGCATGTTAATATATGTTTAGGATTTAACAGTAAGATAATAATAGAAAAAGAAAAGATAGTAGTACATTAAGTATAGTATAGTAGATTAAGATAAGATGGTACAAATCAAACAAAAACAATGTAGTCCATAAAAATGATCTTAGTGTTTGTACTTTCATTACAAAGATTTCTTGAACAGGCATGCAGAATCTTACAGAATAGTAGCTGTGAGCTAAAAAGCAGAAACTTTTCTGTGGCAGTTTGCGACCCTGCAGCCTCATACTTACCCTCATAGAGCCAGTCTGAGATGCCATTGAAGACAACCCCCTCCTCCCCAGATGACGTGAGCCTCCACGAGCTGCTCTGAACATCCATTTGGTAGTAGATGTTGTTTTCAAATATGTACACCTGTGGAATAGAGGAAATAAAAAAGTTAATGTAGTAAGTAAACAAAAGAGAGAAGATACCGTAATGTATGAAAACAAGAGAAAGATAATACCAGCTTGTATTTATGTCCCCAAGCTTGATTTATTTCATATATTTTAAGATGCATTGCTTTTTAGACATGTGCTAGTTTTAAAATTATGGCCCAATTTCATTTTGGGCCAAGGTGATGGAACACCTCCACTGAATAAATAGGTAAAGGATCACTGCGACTGGTCCATTGATAAAAACACACTCAGAGAGTGGCTCATCTAACACAGATAAATATGCTGGGAGAGCTCATAAGTAATGAAAACTACTTTGTCATTAGCACCGTGACACACTGCTGCAGGGCTTCCTGGTGAACAGGTTCCACTGGGGGCAGGTATAAATACTGAGGAAACGAGATAAATATGCTATCGAATGCTTAATTACCTTCCTTGTCTGCACTGGAGAAAATAATGGACTGATTATTCGGTGCATGATGCACGGCACGTTGGAGGCATTACTCACACAGAGAGCTCCAGTCGCCCAACAAGATGTCTTTCAGCAACAGCTTGATTAGTGAAACTGACTTCTCCTCACAATAATTGTTTGGTTTAAGGATAGTTTGTCTGTTTTCTCAAGTTACAAACAATCTTTATTCAGGGTTTTGTTTCGTTTTTTGTTTTTTCTCCCTGCTGAGCAAAGAAAATTTCATATGTGGCATAAATTACAGCAACAATAAAGCAATATTATGAAAGATTGCAAATTAAACATTGATTTTCACCTTTGTGCATGCATAAAGGCCTCCATCTCATTCTGTTCACAGACCTTTCGGTTCTTTTGTTGATCACTTTCTCCACTATAAAATATCAAAAACTAGTTTATATTCTGGGCCTGATGGTTTAGGATTTGAATGCTTAGTTAATAGATTCGAGTTTGGGTTTCTGCATTCTAGTATTTGAAGCATTGGCTGTTACTACTTGAGGGTGAATTCTTGTGTTGATTATATTTTGGACCTTTGTCCTAATCTTATGTCTTAACCCTGTAAAACGTGATTCATGAAATAATAAGAAAATCTACATCACTCTTGCCTGTCCAGTTTTCTTCTATATTTTATTTTGTGTGAGTTTCCTTCTCTTTGTGACCACTTCCTGCTTTGCTTTGATAGTTTGCTGCTGTCTCTCGGGTTTGACTTTTACCTTTTCCCTGCTATTGTCTTGATTATCTTCAACCTGCTTTCCTTCCAGATTCTCACTCAGTCCTCCTCAGTGTGTGTGTATGTGTGTGTATAATGCTATCCTTCCCTTTAGTCCATGTCTTTATTTCTGTCCATCTGTGAAGCATCTGTGTCCTTCCGCTGGTGCTCGATGCTTTGCATTATTTAGTGTGTGGGTTTGGATTTCTAGTTTTTTTTCCTTTTTCTTTTCTTTTCTTTTTGTTTGGTTTTTTTTCTCATTCTGAACTGAATAGCTTTTATTGCATCTTTGAATCCACAAATAGTAACAGTTTGACCCTCTGAGATCTATCTCATCATTAATAATAATCATAACCATATACATTTGAAGAAGGCAAAATTGGCTTGTTGGGAAAAATGTTAGTTAGCTTTTGATATAAATAAATAAATACAAAAATAAACACCAAAATACTAAATATTTTGATTGCACTGGGGCTAGACTTCACAGAGAAAAATGAGAAAAACAAGTCAATTACAGTGATTTTTTTTCCCTGTAATGACTTATCAAAACTTTGACTTCATAATGATCTAAAAGCAATAATTCTAAATGGAGATGCAAAAAAAAATCTTTTTCATTTCTGATTGAAAATGAATGACATTATGTTTGCGTTTCCTTTTTTAGCTTGACAATTGATTTGTGTCTCAATTATTTCTAAATGCCTGAAGCCTAAAGCAATGTTAAGAAATTGATGATGGGATGGGATATCGCTCATTTTCAGTCCTGGTGGTCACTGGGAACGCTTAAACCTGTATATCAAATTACATTTGATATAGTTTATAATTTCTGACTCTTCAAGGATGATTTATTTATGCATTCTTTTTCATATCCAGAGGCAGGATTTTATTGTGAATATTTTGCATGCATTTGTTTAACTGTAATATTTATGAGATGAAAAGAATTATGGGCTGGAATGATCTGTGCTGTGCTGCAATGGCTGAGGAAGAGATGCATACCAAATAAATGCAGACCTTAGAAGATGAAGTGTGATAAGTTACATTTAACGAGTTGCTATCAGTGGTTAAATAGATATTGAATAATGGATTGGTTTTGAATGTGTCCAGTTTGAAGCCTTTGCTTTGCTTCGTTTATCTTTCCTTGTCCATACTTTTCTCTTGCTTTCATTCTGACACAAGTTCATCTTGGTTTGATCTCTCCAAAGATTGTTTTTGCTTTCTGAACTCTGCAGGCTCTTTCAGATGTTCTCTGGCACACTCTAATCTTGCCTTCTTGTTTTTGAGTGTATCCGGTGTTTTGGAGCCTTTTGTATTTCCATTCATAAAAGTATCTCTGGACTGTAGACTGAAAACGATGCACAAGAATGTTCTTCACTCAGTTAGATGTTGTGAAGGGGTCCTTGTTGTGTCCATTTCTTGTTTTAAAGAATGAACCAGATTCTTGATTTTATCACTTTCAATTTTTTGCTATCTCTGTGACAGATTTGTTTAAGGTTTCTTTGGCCCAGTGATTGCATCTCTAACTTTTCTTGACATTCCTGTGGACCTCATATTGAGAGCTTCAGTGAATAACGAAACTGCTCATCAATCAGTTATTCAGTCTTTTTTGAGCCTCTGAAAGTGTGGGGCTGTGTATAAAACCCTTTAACAACAGTTTTACATCAGCATTACATTTTTGGTGGACTTCAGGAAGAACAGCTAGCGCATTGCTTTAGCTAATGTGATAACCAATAAACCAAGTATCCAGGAAAGCCTATGGAAACCAAGGGAATAAATCCTGAGGTAAACTAACCACTGAATCAATAAAAGATTAAGAATATAATTCAATCATGATGGTTTTAAGTTTTAGTGACCTTTATAAAACTCTATAATCACTTACCAGCTGTTGACCCCGAACACCCCATGAAGCAAACTGGAGCACTGAGTCAGACACCTCCGGAGGATTGAGCTCCCGCACCTCCCTGATGTAATGGTGATGATAAAAGTATCACAAAATCAGTCTAGCAATCACTGACACACTGTCATTGAAATCTCAGTGAGGTGATCTGGTGCTCTTAAAGGATGTTCAAATGAAAAAGAAATCATCCCATTATATTATTTAGGATTTATTTCTATGTTTCCTTACCTTGTGTATAGATTGTAGAGGAGGTACGATGCCAGGAAAGAGTGCTGGTAGACCTAAAAATCAAACATACAAACAGAAAATGTGATTTTTCTCATTAATAATAGCAGCCAAGAAGTCAGCAAATGCACATTCTGAGACTAACGTAGAAAACACACCACAAAATATTTTTGACATTTTTCATGGCATTTTAGTCGTCTTTATTCTCTTGGAGACTGCTAATAACAGTGTGATATATGCTGTCCATGTGCAAAGACAACAATGCAAACGTTTCAATTTGGTGAGGAAACTATAGTCTCCAATGGGATATGGCAGCTGAACTGTTGATTGCAGGGTAATGCTTTAGTTCTTTTAATTGGTAATTCTGCTTTCATTCACAAAAGAGAACAAAAGTTAATGAGACCTTTTGGCTTTCTATTGAAGCAAGAGAGAAGTCTGAATGTACTAGAAATTTATTTTATTTATTTTCATGTAAAATGCTGATAATTTGTTTTCCAAGGGTTGACAACTAGTTATTGTTTATACCAAGGATACAGCTGCAGTTTAAAAAAATGATTTGCTTTTCATCAGTGTGCTTCTGCTTCATCTGTAGACCTGTGATACTTGTGCAGCCTCAAATTCTCTGTATTTAATTGGACAGTGACAGCAATAACACAGGATGGTTTCCAGTTTTAGATCAATTACAGTGAAATGGTAACAATGCTTTACTATTCTGTCATAGAACCTATGATGAGAGTACTTTATCACACAATGCAGCTGACACTCTGGGGCAACACAAGCTGTGATTGGATTGCATTAGTGGCACTTAAGCCTGACAATTGCCATTTAAAAAAATATGAAAACAACAAATTGGTCTCTGGAATAGATTTGTATTGACGTAATCTGATACGTCTAATAAATAAAAACTTAAAATCTGACAAAAACTAAGAGAGGATGGAAAACTGAGGAAATATTTGAGAGCAGTGAGAGTAAACAAGAGTAAACAAGAAGGTTACAGACTGAATAACCGAAGAATGAACTTTGATTGATTGATTGATTGATAATACTTTATTCATCCCGAGGGAAATGAATGATTTGATTTGATGTTTCTTTGATGATTTTGGGGACCGATGACTTGCACTTATAGTACTTCTATACATGTTCCACACATGATTTATCCACAAGGATAAAGATTAGGTTATAGTGGATGTATTGGTCAAATACAGGACATTCCCTCAGCATAATCATCAGAATCATCAACTAATGATAAACAACACAAAAAGCTGTATATATTATATTATATTATATTATATTATAGTGAAGCATGAGTTATTGTTAATATTATTATAGTGTTTATGTCTTGATGTCTTATCCTACTGGTCAATCTTTTGTTTTCTGTTTTTTTTATGTAACAGGTTTCAGTTTTATGATCATATGTTTAGATTTATGTTCATTTTTTCTCATATGCTGAGCTTTACTTTTATCTTATTATTTGAGTATCTTTTCCTGTCTAGTTTGCACTTTAGTTTTGGGTGCCTGTTATAGCCAACTTTGTATTTTGTATTTTGAGTGTTTATTTAGCTTCAGCTATTTTGAGTTTATCTCTCTTGTATTTAGTTTTCTCACAGTCTCCGTGTTTAGTGTAAATCTTCTTGTATGCATGTTTAGCTTTATGTCTTTTACGTTTTTCTGGTTTTGCTTTTATCAAGACTTTATCTAGTGTGGTTTCTTTCCTGTATCCAGTACTCCAAGCATCCATTGTCATTGTGTTTGTTATATAACCTTGAGTGTTTGGTGACATGTTCTTGTGAATTGCTTTTCCTGGTATCTTTTATGTCTCTGTTTGGACTTTTTCGATCATGTTTGAAACTTGTTTGAAACTTTGATCAGCCTGACTTTCCTTTTGTTTGATATTATACCTGCAATATTCGGCAATTGGGTCCTTTGTCTACAGTCTACGCACAAACTGACAGCTTGTCCTCACAAAGCAATAGCATTGTCCTATGATGATAGCACATAACAGAAGTTGTTAGTACATGTTTTGAAGCTGCTTTTCTGCTTTGTGGTACAGTAGTAATGGTGCTAGAGAGTATCCTAGCCCTCTGTGTGACATTAGTCATTAGTCTGCGAAGTTTAACTAAAATGCTGTAAGCAAAACAACAGTCCGTTTCCCACAATGTGTACTATAAATACTACTTGATTTCCCATTTAAAGGTTTCAGATATCTAGCTGTGCAAGACAATTCTGCCATTACAAATATAAATATGTCAGAATGTAATGTGTGAATAATCTTTAACTGATCATTTATAATCGAAGATAACAAAAGGATAAAGCACAGCCCTCTCAGGAATAATACTGAATCGATAATAATAATATATGCATTTGAAAATCAGAAATATTTTTCACTTTTCAGTGCTCCACAATTCAGCATTTTAGAAATGACCAGAGAAAATCCACTCACCGAGCATTTTATTTAGGATTCTCTGAGATAATGGTTCAATACTGCAGTGTCTCGGCATGCTAATCAGTTGCAGCATTAGCATAACAATATTAGATTAAGCACACCCAAGGGGTGATAAATGCTGTAGAGCTCCTCCATTCCCTGCAGTAAAAGCTCAGTTATGTGGAGCCACCAGCCTTCACTCTTAATTTGGACTTTCCTCTTCTCTTTACCAAAGAGAATTCCCCAAGAAGGAAAAAAGAAGCTTCCCCTTCTTCAAAAAAGACGTCAGCATCATTCAGGAGACGCCCCTCATAGGTGACAGCTCTGTGATGACTCCCTGATAAGGCTGTCAGCCAGGGGTGACACATGAGTTGGGAGGATGTTTGGAGAGACTGTTTCAGACAGCAGGGAGGTGTTTGAATGTGCTGTGTGGTAGTGTCTTCTCAGCAGACTGGGGTTACTTGCCACTTGTGAATAATTCCTTTTAGCTGTCTTAGAATATCGCAGTAGTAGAGTTTACTGCTCAATCAAGACTAACAAAAAGCATAAAAAATTAACGGATGTTTTTCTCATACCTGAGTCATCCTGATGCTGTCACAACTTGTGTATCTGATACTGGTACATTAATATGGTTTGCAGAGACATGAGGAAAATGTCTTTAAAAATTAAAAAGATGTATAAAATGCTCAAAATATCAGTTCTTACATGCTGTGGAAAGCTCACAAATGTATTTTAGAAGATATTGAGTGTACAAAATCGAACAATCTGTGCAGTTTTTCCTTTTTTTAATTTCCAGTATGACTGGTGTATTTTAGCCTTGTGATTGATTTTTTTTGGGGAGTTGATCCATCCATTGGTGAGGTCTAACTATTTTGAAAGGCCTGAAAGGGTCAGGCAGGGTGGAGGCTTTTGGAGCACAGTGACCTGATTGCCTTCTCTTTGGCGTCTTCTGTTTTTGCCTCTATGAAAGGCCTCAAGGACTTGTTAAAAGCAGAGAAACACTATGCTCCCTTATCTGAAAGGTAGATATAGGAGAGACAGGAAAATCTAACATTTCAGCAAGAATGTCAGCTTTAACTAAAGTCTAAAGTTGGCTTGATTAAGGCAGGAGTTGTTTTGAACAAATTACATTTTCACTCCGATTTGTGCAAAACTATGTTTTTTCTTTTCTTCTCCTTTTTGGTAGCTTTGTTAGATGGTAAATAACAAAGTAGCACAGTGCCCTCCAACTGCCACAGGCATTTGCATTGTAATCATTAAAATTCTTTTTAAAAACTCTCAAGGCAAGGGTTAAACAACTATATTGAAAAAAAATCTAGACTGCCAATTCTCATTTGCAGCATAGTTCACATGGTGGCTTCTGAACAGCTGTGCTACTAAAAACACCATCAAAACACAGTCACTAATCAGACGAGCTTGTGGGTTTTTATAAACGTGCTAACAAAGACCATGTGACAAGAAAGACAGTT